GAGTTCCTGACTGGGCCTCAGTTATGCCTGTCTCTTTGTGGAATACTGGAACATTCCCTGTTCCAGTCCTATTCCAGTCCACACCCCCAACTCTTTCTCCAGTATATTGATAACATCATCAGTGCCGCTTCCCTCTCTCATCCGAAACTAGAAAAGTTTATCAAATTCACTTCGAATTTCCACTCTGCTCCCACCTTCACCTGGTCTATCTCCTTTCCCTTCCTCAATATCTCTGTTTCCATTTCTGGGGATATGCTAGCTACCAATATTGACTACACCCAACCAACTCCCACAGTTACCTTGACTATGCATCCTCACACCATGCTTCCTCTAAAGATTTTATTCCATTCTCCCTGTTCCTTCTCCTCCATTGCATCTGTTCTGACGATGCCAGCTTTGACGAGGGGGCCTCCAAAATGTCAACTTTTTACCTCAGACGAGGATTCCCAGCACTGTTGTTGATGGGGCCCTCAGCCGGGTCAGATCCATCTCCCGCACGTTAGCCCTCACCCCCTCTCTTCCCTCCCACAGTAGCGATAGGGACCCTCTCGTCCTCACGTACCATCCCACTAGCATCCACATCCAGAGGATCATTAGCTGCCATTTCTGCTACCTTCAGTGAGATACCACCATCAGACATGTATTCTCCTCCCCCTCTCCTGCCTGGTCAGCCTTCTTCAAGAACTGTTCCCTCTGGGATACCATGGTCCACATTTCCTTCACTCCCAACACCTCTCCAATACCCCACGGCACCTTCGGCTGCAACCAAAGGAGGTGAGAAAACTGGCCATAAGACCAAAAGGCATAGGAGCAGAAATTAGGCTATTCAGCCCATCGAGTCTGCTCCGCCAATCAATCATGGCTGATAAGTTTCTCAACCTCATTCTCCCACTTTCTCCCTGTAACCCCTGATCTCCTTGACAATCAAGAACCTATCTATCTCCGTCTTAAATATACTCAATGGCCTGGCCTCCAAAGCCTTCTGTGGCAGTGCATTCCATAGATTCACCACACTCTAGTTGAAAAAGTTTCTCCTTATCTCCATTCTAAAAGGTCTTCCCTTTACTCTAAGGCTGTGCCCTCAGGTCCTAGTCTCTCCTACCAATGGAAACATCTTCCCAACATCCATTCTGTCCAGGCCATTCAGTATTCTGTAAGTTTCAATTAGATTTCCCCTCATCCTTCTAAACTCCATCAAGTATAGACCCAGAGTCCTCAAACGTTCCTCATGTGTTAAGCTTTTCATTCCTAGGACCATTCTCGTGAACCTACTCTGAACCCACGCTAGGGCCAGTACATCCTTCCGGAGATATGGGGCCCAAAACCGCACATAATACTCCAAATGTGGCCTGACCAGAGCCTTAGAGAGCCTCAGAAGTACATCCCTGCTTTTATATTCAAGCCCTTTCAAAATAAATGCCAACATTGCATTTACCTTCCTAACTACTGACTCAACCTGCAAATTTATCTTGAGAGAATCCTGGACTAGAACCCTCAAGTCTCTTTGCACTTCAGACTTCTGAATTTTCTCCCCATGCTTTTATTCTTCTTACTAAAGCGCATGACCTCACATTTCCCCACATTGTACTCCATCTGCCACTTCTTTACCGACTCTCCTAACCTGTCCAAATCCTTCTGCAGCCTCCCCGCCTCCTCAATACTACCTGTCCCTCTACCTATCTTTGTATCGTCTGCAAACTTAGCCAAAATGCCCTCAGTTCCTACATCTAGATCATTAATGTACAAAGTGAAAAGTTATAGTCCCAACACTGACCCTTGTGGAATACCACATGTCATCGGCTGCCATTCTGAGAAAGACCCTTCTAACCCCACTCTCTGCTTTCTGCCAGACAGTCAATCTGTTATCCATGCTAGTACCTTGCCTCTAACACCATGGGCCCTTATCTTACTCAGCAGCCTCTTGTGTGGCATCTTGTCATAAGCCTTCTTGAAGTCCAGGTAGATATCATCCATTGGTTCTCCTTGGTCTACCCTGCTCGTTACTTCCTCCAAGAATTCTAGCAGATTTGTCAGGCATGACCTCCCCTTGATGAAACCATGCTGACTTTGCCCTATTTTACCATACACTTCCAAATATTCAGAAATCAAATCCTTCACAATGGACTCTAAAATCTTACCCATGACTGAGGTTAGGCAAATTGGCCTATAATTTTCAGTCTTTTGCCTTACTCCTTTTTTAAACAGGGGTGACACGTCAGTGATTTTCCAGTCCTCTGGGACCCTCCCTGACTCTAGTGATTCCTGAAAGATCACCACTAACGCCTCCACTATCTCTTCAGCTATCTATTTACCTCCTCCGTCCTCAGTATCCAAAGGCCCAAACATACCTTCCAGGTGAAGCAGCTTAAATATATTCAGTAACAGTGCATCCAGCTCTTTGGGCAGGGAATTCCAAATGTACATAACCTTCAAGTAAGAAATTTCTCAATTCAGTCTTAAATGATTGTATCCTCGTCCTGACACTGTGCCTCCATGAGAACTATGTTTATCCTACACAGTGTTGGGTGTTTGCCTCCTGCCAGTGAGAAGAGTATCCTATGTCCTGTAGTCCGGTGTGTGGCTGAGCAGGCTGCATTGGTGTTGATCATGGTTTCTCCTCTTGTCCCTCATCCGAGGAGCAAGACCCCCATATCATGATATAGGCTGGTAGCAAGGGTGCCCAGCTGAAGGAGAGTCAAGTGACAGGTTAGACAGGTGAAGTGCCTTCCAAGAAGTTAGCAATCACCTGTCAAGCTATGACAGCACTCAGAGAAAATGCTATGCCCAACAACCTCTCAATTTATCAAGGCTACAGCTCTTTGGTCTCACTGAACAAAAGCTGCCCAGCATGTCAGTTTCACTTGAGATCTTCCCCCTGTGTATTCACCTTCGGTAACTGGCAATTTGCTGACAGATCAGGAAACAGGTTCCCTGGCCAGGAAATCCAGAATTGAGTGTGAAAATAATATTTAAATTGTGATACATAAAAAGCAGATTGAGTACACACATACTGAAGTCTTGCTTAAATTGTCTAGGAAGTTGGTTAGAGTGTACCTGGAGTGTTTTGTGCAGTTTTGATCACCTTATCTCAACAAAGGTATTATTTCCATGGAGGGTTGTAACAAAGGTTCACCAGACTTGTTTCTGCGATGGTGGGACTGACCCATTAAGAGACATTGGAGAAACAGGGCCGGTATTCTCTACAATTTTGGAGACTGAGTGGTGAACTCATATTAGACATTTCATATGTTTCAGAGACAGACAGAATAAATACACGCAAGATGTTTTCCCCAATTACAGAGATCAGAACCTGGGGCCACAAATGAGAGGGATGCGACTTGGATCTAAGATAAGAAGACTTTTTTTTTAAACTCAGAGGCTTGTGAATCTTTGGAATTCCTTAACTCAGATGACAGTGGAAGTTCAGCATTTGCGTATGTTTAGATAAGAGATTGATAGTTGATTACCAGTTGCGTACAGGGTTATGTGAATGAGGTGGGTAATAGGCATGGAAGTGTTCGACCAGCCATGAGTGGGGAGGCAGGCTTGATGGGCTGAATGGCCTGTTCCTGTTCCTAATCGATCGCCCGACAGATCCCAGGAGGTTCACTTTCAATCCCACCCTGGTTAATCAGGAGAGTGGGCGATGTTCAGACTCAATGTCAATTGCAAGAAATTTAGCTCTCTATACACACCCAGATCCCCCTCCACTAACCTGGGAAAATCATACCCATTAATCTGTTTCACTTTCTACAATTGTTGCCTTGATTATCTGAATATTTTTAGTATTTTCTCATTTTAATTATAGCCGATCTCAGTTAGGGCAATAGTGACTTCCCTTCAGTGTGCCCACCTGGGGAGGGTTCATATCGCTAAAACAGAAATTGCTGGAAAAGCTCAGCAGGTCTGTCAGTATCTGTGGAGAGAAATCAGTGTTAACAGTTGAGATCCAGTGACCATTCTGAAGAAGGTGCCAGACCTGCTGAGTTTTTCCAGCGGTAGTAGGAACTGCAGATGCTGGAGAATCCGAGACAACAAGGTGCAGGGCTGGATGAACACAGCAGG